AAATTCGTAAAATAAGATATTTAGCGTTGCCGTATTTACGGAGTTCTTCGAAACCCTAATATTTTGTTTAGATTAATATTGATTTTTTAATAAAAAATTTAGCTTATATTAAAACTTCAAAGAATAATTTGATTAAAAACATATTTTTATTTATATAATATAAAATTATAGTTACAGGACACATCAAATTTTATTTTTCGAAAGTAATTTCTCCAAATAATTTTAACAGACTGATAAAATTGGCAAAGACGCAATAAACGAGAATCTGGTGGGAATAATGATTTGCCACATAAAAATGTAAACAATTTAGTTTCTTAGTTGTAATGTCTTTGGGACTACCCCTAAAGTACCCCCTTTTTAACAAAAGAAGAATCATTGCAATCGGACACTGTATAAAATAATGGGCCATGTTCACATGTGAGATATGCTGTTTTATAAACTATATTGTAATAGTTAGTCGCTATACAAGTTATTCTAAATAATCAGTTCGTTAAAAAAGCTAAAAGTTTTTAAATTAAGCCCAATTGAAATTTAAAATTTGAAATTATACGTCATCGGGAATAGACCAATCAGCTTGTGTCGAAGTTTTTTTTGTTTTACAAAACCAAGCCAACGAACAAACCTACATACAGAATGTCGAAGTGAACGCACATCTAAGTGACATTTAAAAATTGACAGCACCTAACAACTAACCTTAGTTTTTTGTTTTGGTTTAATTTTATTATTAATCTGAATTTATCTGTGTAAATTATCCTGTGGGATATAGGATATATAAAGGAAGAAGAATATGAATTTATCAGCTGTATTTATAAAAGTTGAATCAAGTATTTTTCCCATTGTAAACGAAAATATGATTACCGAGATGATTACTGCATTTTTTAACAATACTCAGTTTCCAAAAGATAGAAAGGTAAAACTTTATTTATTAATTGTTTTAATGGTAGGTAGTTACAGTTTATATGAAGCAGTACACTTTATAGTAAAACATATTTATCTCAGGTTTTATTTTAAGATCTGCCAAGCAAGAATATGGAGATATTTACTTTTTCCATAAGAGAGAAGGAGACAAATTACACCTAAACATAAAGTACAGCAAAAACCTTATGATGTGGCTGTTTTTTAGTGCACAATGCTTAGGATATGTTGAATCTCAAGGTTTGTAATATTTATTATGCTTTTTTGTTTTTATATCACATATAATAAACAGTGTATAAGGCCCTTTATTCTTATAAATATTTTTTTTCTAATTTTGACATAAAGAGACATTTTTTGTAATCGCAGCAAGTGTTAAAATAATCTAGAAATAGATTTTGTTAGTGAACCTAGTAATAATTATAATACCAAAGAATGCTGCAGAGCACCTATGAAATTTTGAGTTAAAACATGCCATATTTTTAGGCTATTTTTATACCCTTTTCAAAAATTTTATGCTCCTCGTTTTATGCAAAACTTAAAATGCTCTGATAGCTTCGAACGAAGTCAGCAAAGCACCTCTGTTTTATAAAGTTTTTTCTGTAAAAACAGCAACACCATATATTTATGCACTTGAAATATTATATTTTTAAAAAATACATGGTGCTTGCTAACCTTCGAAAGAAGCCAGCAGAGCAATTCGGTTTTTTAAAGCTTTTTTCTAAAAACCACACCCCATTTTTAGACTCTTGAAATATTGTAAAACTTTACTAAAAAATTGCTATTTTTAAATAATACAGGGTGCTTTGTTGGAACAAAGTCAGCAGGACACTTCAGTTTTTTAATATATAAAAACAACTACTTATGACACATGTTTAGGCTGTTTTAAAATCCTAAAAATATGGTAAGTATATTTGTTTTCAGAAAAAAAACTTTGAAGTCAGCAAGGAATTGCGAATTTTTTTTAAAAATGTCAAATTTCGAATATTTTATAATATTGTAGGAGCCAAAAAATGTGGTGTGGTTTAAAAAAAAACTGGGGTGCTCTGCTGGATTCGTTTGAAGCTAACAAAGCGTCCCGTAATTTTTTATTTTATAATACTCAATAGCCTAAAATGAGACATAGCTGTTTAAACAAAAATGGTACTTTTAAAAATAGCAGTTTTTTTCGAAAAGCTCTATAATATTTCAAAAATGTGAAAATGTGGTGAGCTTGTTTTTTTTAAGTTTTGAAAACCAGAGATTCTTTACTGGATTCGTTCAGAGCTAGTAAAGTGCTCGTCTTGTTACATAAAATAAGGCATTTTGTAGCTGGTTATATAGTTATTTTGTAACTGCATATCTAACCCTTTTATTTTTTTCAAGAGGTTGTAAACATGTGGCTTCATAGAAGAAGTGAGGAACCATCTGTAACATCTACTCAGTGTTATTGATAATGATGTACACTTGGCTAGATTATTAAAGAAACCTCTTCATCCACTACAGGAAAATAAATCAGTACTTTTTTATTCTTAGGATTTGTATATATTTTTTATTTGTAAATAAATTGTTTTTTTACTTTATTTTTCTCATTTTTTATTAAAAGGTTAATAAATAAAATTTTCACAGATTTTTATATTTTTGTTTGTAAACAATAATTGAAGTTTTTATTAAAAATCACCAATGTTAATAATAATAACTTAAGTCAATATTATTCTTTCTCCTTTTTTAAAGCTACTATTAATAAAGGTATTACTTTAGCTTGACCTATGATCAATTTTTAATTTTGTGATATATTTGGTTTGACAGAAAAAAAATTAAAACCCTTTGACATTGGTTGTTTTTACTTAGATTTTCATAAAAAATAAACGGAACTGCAAACATGTTTTACTATCGTAATAACGAATAGCAACATGAAATTTTTTTTTCACATTTATCACTGTTGTCGTTTTCATAAGAAGGCACACTTTCTGGTTTTTTGAAAAAGGTGGCAAGAATTGTGATATTTTTAAATTTATCACCAGTGATACCACATGTAGTTACCTGATTTATTGGAATATATAGACTTTGCTACCACATTCAACTGAACTTGGTTTTTAATATTTATCACTGTGACATAGGCGTTTTTGTTAAAATGTTTCATTTTAAACTGCTGTAAATAGGTGCCTTTGTTTTGGTAGTTTTAGTCCCAAAAAAATCTATGCATATACAGGTACTCATTCCTCTTCGATTTGCTCGAAAAGTTAAATTTTTATCAAAAATTACATTGGCTGTTTAAAAACTCATTATAATCCCTGAAATGTGATAATTAGGTAAATTAAATTAAAAAACAAACAAAAAAGTTTATTAAATTAATATTTACTCTTACAAAATAGGTTCTTGTAAGTTAACAAGCAATTATGCAGATATTACTAAGTAAATGTACTTGCTTAAAATTCACACACGAATGTGGTTTTAACATGTTAAATTAACTAACCCTTCTTATAACTCTTTCCACATGTATTCTTAGAGATGCTATTCTTTTACTTAATTGTACATCTTCTGGAGAAGTTTTTTCATTCTGTGATACACTAGGTGTGGCTTTACTAAAGTGTATCCCATGTTTTCAAGTAGCTGATTATTCTGAAACCCCTATCTGCCATTATATGGGATCCAGGAACCAGTTTGTTTAAATACCCACATTTTTCCATTATTTCTTTATCACTAGTTCTTCCACAAAATGATGAATAAATTCGGTATCTTCAAAACTTTCAGGAGATTCTGCATTTTCTTCCAGAAGGGTTTTTAGGTTATACACCTAAGAATTTATAGTAGCCTTATTTTCAATTTCCTAAAGGGGACAATTAGCAGAAATTGCTGCTACATCTTGATAATCCGGTGTATTTTTATTAAAAAGTTCACGAGAAACATCCCTAGTAGAAGGTTGATTTTCTTCTTTCCAAATTTCTAGGAACACTAATAAATATTTTTGAAGATGAATGTGAATCATTATCACATTCTGGAACAAAACATTTTTTCGTAGTCATAATATTTATAAAAAGTACAAAATTAAACAATCAAATTCCAAATAAATTCTTGATGGAGACACTATGATGACAGATGCCATACACAGTGCTGCCATTTTGCCATTTTCTGAATTATTAAGTGACTTTTAAAACAATGAAACTTTAAATATGGTAAAAGTTTAAACAGAAATAATACTTTAAAAAAACATTTGATATTATATATTTAAAAGATATTTGTTTAACGATGTTTTAGAAGTCTAAAAGTAAGAAGGAGTACACAAACGAACGTACATCACTTCTCGTAAACCTTCTAGCCGGCAACGTTGTGCGCTAGCTCCTATTGGTCTATTCCCGGTGACGTCATAAATTTTAAAAAAATTCATAACTCGGGCAAATGAATAGATAAAAAAAAAATAAAAAAAATATAATTTTATTTTCAACTCTATTATTCATAAAAAAAATTTCAAAATTTTTGAACATGCCCCATTATCGCTGAACATACATAAAAAAAATATTGCGACGAATTGAGAACCTCCTCCTTTTTTGAAGTCGGTTAAAAAGACTGGTAAGGTTTCATGTTTAGTGGGTAATATTGCTTGAATATAAAAATAACCTAATAAACTATTTAAAAATATTTATTTTTTTTATAAATTTCCACAACCCTGTATAAATATATCGTTAGCAGAAAATACATATCATCTCCCTGCACTATCTTTGTTACAGCATGATGAACTAGCTCATGGGAAATAAATTGATTTAACAACCATTTTTTGGTCAAAACAGCATTTTTATGCATTTTAGTATGGCAATCCAAATAAAATGACAAATTGAAAATCCACTGATTTCGGAAAATATGCTGTATTTCTAATATTCTGAAGATACCATATCGTAGGTACAGGCTGAAAATATGTCATCTTACAATTTGTTTTTCCTAATTGTTTCAATAATAAGGCGCCCTAAGTTAGACCTTTATCTTTAATTTAAATTAGATTCGGATATCAGTCGATTTTACTTTTGGATGTACATGCGGTTTTCATACAAAGGGATACCTCGTTTTTAAGTCTGTTATACATCCCAAACTAACTTTTACTTTTATTATTTTAGGTTTACTGGCTTGGTCCAAACATGGGCGCCGTCTTAGGATGCGGCATCTACAAGTACCTCTTTTCCCTTCCCGAAGAAGATCCTCTTACAAAAGAAGAAGAAGAAGTAGTCGATCTGCAAGATATAAAGCTTGAAAAAGCATAATTTTTTCAACTGCAAAATAGGAAAAAGCCAATACTTCTACTGACCTGCAAAACATGCAAAACATAATTTTTAAATTATTATATTTGTAAAAAACAGGGTGTCTGTAAAAGGTCTTTACAAAACAAACCACATATGCCTTAGACCAAAATAAGTCGATTTAAGTAAAATTACCTTAGTACAAAGTTGCTTCGTTTGGGCTCCAGAGGGCCTTGAAGTTACAATTTTTAAATCGTTTTTCCCATATAAATTTAAAACGGCATATGCGATTTTGCTAAAATTTGGTATGTTGGTAGAGTTTTATGTGGCAAAAAAAATTGTATTAAAATTTTGTCCGATAACAATACATAGGCGTAGAACTTGATTTTTTAAATAATTGGACCTTTATAAATTCTACGCCAATTGAAGAAAAGGAGTTTAAGTATGAAATTTAGATTGCGCAACTCATTTACTTTTAAAAATATACTCCTGATAAGACTCGATTACTCTCATGGTTTTCGCTAAATTTCTGTTTTAATAATTTAGAGTGTATAGGTTCCACAAAAATATTTATTTACAACATAATCAAAATAGAGATTTTACAAAAATTGTTCAAAATGTTCACCATTTTTACGCATACAAAGATTTATACGTCGAAGAAAATTAAAATGTATCCTTTCCATAACTTCTTCATCACCACTAAGATTGTTTATTGCATCTTGAATACGTTGCCAGAGTTGTTCCTCATTTTCTACAGGTTCCCTGTAAACTGTGGATTTCAGATGTCACCATAAAAAGTTATCCATCGGTGTTAGGTCTGGGGAACGTGGTGGCCAGTTTACAGGTGCGTCATTACCTCTGCCTATCCATTTGTGTGGATATTGTTCATTCAAGTGGTTTCTCTTGGAGAGGTAAATCTTCTAATAATTCTGGCAACGTATTTTGTAGAAAATCCAAATAATTTTCTCCAGTTAATCTTCGTGGAAGTATGACAGGACCAACAATGAAATTACCGATTATTCTAGCCCACACATTAATTTTGAATTCGTGCTGAAAATGGTTTACCTTTATTGCATGCGGATTTTCAACGGCATAAACATGTTCATTATGGGTATTAGTTATACTTCTTCTTGAAAAACCCGCTTTATCGGTAAAGAGAACCTTCTTGACAAAGTTTGGATCTCTTTCTCTTTGCATATTAACAAATCGACAAAAACCCAAACGAATTTGAGGATCATGGACTAATAATTCTTGTACGGCTTCTTATGGTATGGATATAGCAATTGTTCTCCAAGCACTTTATGAACGACATCTTTACTTATTCCTAGTTCCTTTCCAATTCGTCTGGTGCTTAATTCTGGATCTTCTTCAACACGTTCTAAAATGTCATCTTCAACTTCAGGAATCCTTAGAAAACGTTCTCTTCCATCATCAACAGTGTTGGGAGCAAAGGAACTGGTCTCCCGAAGACGTCTCTCAACAGCAGCAAAAGTTGGGTGGCTAGGTACACGACGATTTGGAAACCTTTCAGAGTAAACCCTGACACTCTCTCGAGCATTTCCTTTACAAAATCCTACTATCAGTAACATATCGGTATATTTTGCATTGGTACATTGTACAGCCATATTAATAAACCACGCATTTGTTTTTTTAATTATTGAGTCAGATAGAACACCTTCAATCATTAACAAGAGATTAGGTGTTAAAACTTGATATTTTTATTTAGATGAAACTGTGGAAACCAACAATAAATGTTTTTTTATACGTATTGCAGGCAAATAATTAATATTCCTCAAAAAATCGTACATGGCAAGAATCGAGTATTTTTGTTAAAAGTCTCGATTAGAGGTATTGAAGAAGATATGAAAAAAGTACATTTTCATGTTTTTCATCGTATAAAATTTTGTCCGATAGGCGTAGAACTTGATTTTTTAAATAATTGCACCTTTAAAAATTCTACGCCAATGGCAAAAAAGGGGTTTGAGTATTAAATTCGGATTGGGTACTCATTTACTACAAAAAAGTACCCTTGATAACACTCGATTTACTCTCATGGTTCTGACAAAGTTTGTATTTTAATAATTATTATGTATGTTCTAAAATTACTAAAATGCAAATTTCGTCAAAACCATGAGAGTACTCGAGTCTTATCAAGAGTACCTTTTTTAAAGTAAATGAGTTGCGCAATCTAAATTTCATACTCAAACTCCTTTTCTTCCATTGGCGTAGAATTTTTAAAGGTGCAATTATTTAAAAAATCAAATTCTACGCCTATGTATTATTATCGGACAAAATTTTAATACCACTTTTTTGCCACATAAAATTCTACCAATATACCAAATTTCAGCAAAATCGCATATGCCGTTTTAAATTTATATGGGAAAAACGATTTAAAAATTGTAACTTCAACGCCCTCTGGAGCCCAAACGACGCAACTTTGTACTAAAGTAATTTTACTTAAATCGACTTATTTTGGTCTAAGGAATATGTGGTATGTTTTTGTAAAGACCTTTTACAGACACCCTGTATAAGCAAAAGAAATGGCTTATTGAAAAATAATTTGACATTCAATACATTGCTGATAATTTTAGGCTTGTTCCTACAGCATTCAGAATCAGTCACTGACATTAAGGTATCATTCTGCATACACATTACGGATCAACCGTCGCATCTTTAAACATTCGTCCATAGAATCCAGACTGTCATTAATGTTTTTTAATAATTGCTGCAGGAACAAGTCTGTTAACTAGTAGGTAATACTCGTACTATTACAAATATCACTCATAGGCTTCTAGATAAATTTTAAATAAAAAAATAGGAACATCGGGTCGATATCTTAACAGCTATATAAAATGTCATATTGACATTTTTAAAAATGTAAAGTAATATATCCCTGAAAGTAACCTTTTTGGTAGGTGCAGGCAAATTTAGCTATTTGTGTTTTAAGAGCGAAAAGTGATAGGTACTTTACCGCTTGAGACAGAAAGTTATCTGCGCTCCACTTCGCATAGCAAGGACAATTTTTTGAGCGATAACGAACTTTTCTCTTAAAAACATTTTTCTACGATCACATTATTTTATGAAATAGATATAAATACTGAAAATTTAAAATGAATTTATATATACTTCTAGACAAAATTTACACACCAATATTATACAGGGTGATTCATAAATATTGGGACATAGGCTAAGGGCAGGTTATTTGGACCAAAATATAGCGATTGGACCAAATATACCTTTATAAAATATGGCTGTGGAATAAGATACAGGGCGTTAAATTTGAATTTTTTTTTCGTCCTTTTTTCTGATAATGTCACTGTTTATTTATGAATTGTTATCAAAATCGGCACAAAGGCATATCTTTGAAAAAGGAATATTATTTTATGTAATATTTCACATTTTGTTACAGGGGGCGCCACGTGAATGATTCCTGATGATGAAATTAGGTGGTAACTTTTTTGGCGAAACTTTTTAGTGCTTTTGATTAGAAAATATTACCTAAAAATTATTGCTACGTAATATTGGTACTCTTGTTTAAACACGATAATTTCACCTGTTTTCGAGAAAAACGTAATTGAACAGTTCAGTGTCTCAGAAGGGGATTCCAAATAACACAATAAGAAAACTTGTAACGTAAGGCTTCTATTTCAACGGTAAAGCAAAATTAAAAACAATCTAACATAAAAAAAGCAAACTTAAATTAAATGTTCAATGTGACCTCCTCTGACTTCTATGCCTTTTCTAATTCTTTTAATAAAGGACTTTCGGATGGCCAAGAAAATATTATTCTGTCCCCTTATAAAATTACCCGCATTTTGTATGTTCCTCCAGAGTTCGTCTCGTGAATTAATTTCCTGGGTATAAACTAAGGACTTCATATGTCCCCATACATAAAAATCAAGAGGGTTATAGTCAGGACTTCTTGGTGGCCATTCAAAATTACTTCCTCTGCCAATCCAACGTTGAGGAAATATGTTACTTAGATAATTTCTAACAACTAATGGGAAATGAGGTGGTGCTCCATCCTGCATAAACCACATTTTCCTTCTTACATCTAGTGGCATATCATCCAAAATATCTTTAAAAGTATTTTGCAAAAAAAATAAATAGGAATCTCCATTTTAATTTGGTGGAAGACGATATGGCCCTAGTAGTTGGTCGCCTATAATGCCACACCAAATATTAAATTTAAACTCATGTTCAAAATGTCTTTCTTTACAAGCATGTGGGTTTTCTTCTTCCCAGTGATGACTGTTTCGATAATTAAAAACACCTCGTCTAGTAAAAGTCGCTTCATCGGTGAACATAATATTTTTAATAAAATTTCGGTCATCATTATGTTTGTTGAGAATACGTTGGCAGAACTGTAACGGTCTTGAGAGATCTCTTGGAAGCAAATTTTGAACAGGAGTGAAGTGATAAGGATGAAACTTTTCTTTTTTTAAAACTCTAATAATAGACGACTGACTTACTCCTGTTGTTATTACCAGTTGACGTGAACTTACTTCAGGATTTTCATCTACTCGAACCAAAATTTCATCTTCTTCATTAGGTGTGATTTGTTTCGGACGACCACTCAGATTTTTACTATGAAATGACCCGGTTTCACCCAAACGATGAAATAGATTTGCAAAAGTTTTGTGATTTGGTTGCCTTCTGTCTGGATATAACAATTCATACCTTCTGGCTGCCATGCGACCGCAAAAATTTTCTTGTGCATATACACAAACCATATCCCGCATTTCTTCATTCGTAAAATTATTGTGGCGAGGCATTTCAGTCGAAAAAACTTTAAAAAATGCAACAATAGACTATAATCTCACAGCAAAAATAATTCATTTGCAAGAACTGACATTTACCAGACACAATTATCTGACAGTCCAAAGCACACTTTTCATAAATAAAATATTTTTTGAAATATCCTTCTGAGACTCTGAACTGTTCAATTGCGTTTTTCTCGAAAACAGGTGAAATAATCGTGTTTAAACGAAAGTACCAATATTACGTAGAAATGATGTTTACGTAATATTTTCTAATAAAAAGCACTAAAAAGTTTCGGCAAAAAAACTTACCACTTAATTTCATCATCAGGAATCATTCTCGTGGCGCCCCCTGTAAAAAAATGTGAAATAATATCCCTTGTCCAAATATATGCCTTTGAGCCAATTTTGATAACAATTCATAAATATACAGTGAGATTT